CACCTTTTGTTTCGTCGACGTAAGGAAAGCAACACCTCATCTGGCAAAGTCCCACTCGGTCTAACTGGGACGGCAGGCACACATACATTCCCCCTTTTGCACACAGCGAGCAGGGCTTTGATGTATGACTCAGCGCAGTAAACGCTATAAGTCTCTACAGAGTTGCCGCTTGCCGGATGAAAGATCCCTGAGACTGCAGAGCTGAGCTCGCGTCCTCAGGTGAGAGCAGCTACAAGGACCTGCTATTTCAATAAACACCTCCCAAGTCGCGCTGTCTTGTTCTCTCGCCGTTTCTCTCTATTTTGCTCTCTCTTTGTGTCTTCGCTGAACAGTCTGTGCTCGACAAAAGGCTTGTGTTCGGCTGTAGCCATCTGCTGCTTTGCTGTCCTTGACCACGGCCAGCTTGCACAGAGATAAAGAAAGAGCCCAGTTATATTTATAGGGTAAATACCGAATAGCTCCATCCACTAACACGAACATCCAACATTTACAAAAGGAAGAAATCCATACTGTCGTTTCTAAAACTGAGATGCTCATTACACGTCAAAAAAACAGAACTATTACAGCCACCAAACTTGATCACATGAAATAATGCCTCTGTGTTATATTTTTTAAAAAATATTTATTTAACAGGTCACGTTTTAACATTAGCGTAAAAATCCAGAAAGCTGTGTCGAGCCCAGAGGAGCAGTAAGTGAAGCCCAGAGTTCAGAGCAAGTGAAAACAGCTCAGATTTTCTTTGTTTTTATCTAAATTATAATGTGAACTTCCAGATTCTCTGCTTATCAACACCACAATGTAAAAACACCAAGTGTTGAAATGCAAAAGTACCCAAAGCAGGATTTTAGTGTCGTAGCTTGTTGAAGTGGAGGTCATTGTTTTTGCATAAGACTGCAGGAGATCATGTTTTGCTTAATTTGGTGATTGAAGGGACATTTTTCAGAAACTCATGAATGAAAAAAATGACCGAAGAAACTCGAGATAAAGAATTCTAACAGCAGCTTACTTGTATATACTGTTGGGAAGTTGCATTTATTTTAAAAAGTACTTTTAATAGCTGCTTGTTTGTATGCAAAATATATCCGTGTGTCAAGCAACTACTGATGATAGCTGTCAAATAAATGAACATCACAAAAAAAAGGAGGAGCTTTAACAGTTATAAAACCTGCAAAAACTACGTTTGCCATTGGAGTTGTCCTGTTAACAGATTTAGCCGCTTGTTTTTTGACTGCGGTTTACAGGAGGAAAGGGATTTTTCTTTTTTTGCACCCTTTTTTTTTTTTAGGTGCAATACCACAAGTGGCCACTGTGAAAAATGAGGCCAGTGTCGGTGGATCCTCTCATCACCTCTGCTTGAGATCAGCAACCAGAGGCTAGATCCTGCAGACATCTCCAGCATTGCATTCATTCTGGTTGTGCTTTTCAAATGTAATATGCGACACTAAATTTGCTAAATCTGTTTTGCTGAGCCGTGACATTTGGTTCACAAACACGGGTAATTGTGTTTGCTAATGGATGCTGTCGGAAGCTCCGTTCCAGGGTTGAAATTCTAGTCATGAGAGTATCTGTAAGTGCAGGATTACACATCAACGGCACGACCTTTATAATGGCCGACACTCCGACTTGTCACAGACGCTATTAAAGGTGGATCCACGGTAATGACGCTGAAGAGGCTCCGTGTCCCGCTGAACCAGATGCACGGAGGCCTGAAACTTGACCTTCTAAACGGACTGCATCTATTGTTTGATGCTGGTTGCACCTGTGTGTCATCGTCAAAATAACTCATGAAAAAAGGTCTGTTTTTTTTTTTATAGCAAGGGGAGCAAGGACTCGCCAAATGTTTTCCATCCTTCCCTGCACAGGTGGACAACAATCAGCAGCAGATTAATCCACAAATTCATATCATTGCCTTGTGTGTGAGCAAGCGACTCTGCATGTGTGCGTCTGTGTGGTCGTGTCAAAAGCTCAAGGCTGCATTTTTCTTCCTGCTTTGGAAAAAAAAAAAGAAATCACTAAGAGTTCTGTTCCTCCACAAGTTCCCACAGTACAACACGCACACACACTCAATTATGTATTAATACGAGCGGCGACAGCATGCATGCAGAGGAGAAGCTACATATTTAAAAGTGTTAAAGCGTTTGCGTGCACGTGACTGCAGAGTGTCTGAGCGATCTGGCTGCACGCCGCGCTGACGTGTGAGCAGAGCAGCAGAAAGGAATATCACGTCCGCCGTTATCAAACTGTACTCACAATTCAACACAAATATGGGACGGGAGACTAAACACATGTACACCTGGTTCTCAGAGTTATTTTTACTGGTAGTTGGTTGATGAGGCTTGAAACTAAAAAGATTATGCCCCCTGTTGTTTGTATTCTTTACTCCAAAAGTGTGAACAGGTTTATTTTAGCATGCGACAACAACAACAACAACCAAAATAAATAAACGACAGCTGTAACTAAAACCACAGAGCGCTGAAGCTGATAAACAAGTAGAAAAATATTATCGGATGTGTCAAAAATTCAGCTAAATACAAAAATATATCAAGAAATATCAAGATTTATTATTTGTATTTTACCTCCAACCAGTTAGCACAAGCTAATTTCCTTTATCACTTATTAGTTGACAAAAAATAAATTAAAAAATTACTTTTTAGCTAAGTTGATTTTTCACGACCTTCCTTTTCCCATTTTTTTAAATTTTGGCACTACTTTCAGTCACGTGTTGAAACACTGCTAGCTGCTTAGCTGTGGCTAGCATTGTGGTCATAAGAAACCAGTGCTAATGCTAATTATTAGCACACTGTACTGCTGTAGCAACACTGTATAATTTCTTGTTGAAGTAGCTGAAGCATTTTAGCCAGCAAGCTAATGCTAACAGAGTTAGCCCACTAGCTAACATTATTTAATTGCTCAGCGACACCACACGAGGGTCACAATGGAAATGTTTCGACTTCATATCACGATTGTATTTTGTAGTTGTGTGTTAGCTATGTTTGATTCGTACAAATGCTACACAAATGGAAAACTAAAAAGCTTGAAGGCAGAGTTAGCTGCTAACTTCCTTTAGCATTGGTTTGGCAGCACATGTAGCGTAGGTTCAGGACTCCACGAGAGTATATTTTCATTGACGTCTACTTAGAGCAGTAAAACATGTGTTCTAAGTTTGTCACGCCAACATAAAGCTGTGTTATTAGCCACCGAAACAATTTTTAGTGTACATTTATTTTTAGAAAGTACGTAAAACTAGATTTCAAAAGTGAGTAAAAAATATCTCAGCTCTGAATCGCTCGTCATGACAAAGAGTTTCTTTTAACCAAAAAAGTTAGATGTGAAATCACAAATGCACACCAGAGATGCTTAACATTTCCATCAGTGTGGATTAAGTTACCTACTACAAGCACACAGGACAGCTTGTTCCTCGATTAAACTCCCTTGCAGACGCCCACACGGGGCTCTGCAGATACCCACTGACACATCATGCTTGTTATTACACTGCTCCTCTAATCTGTAGGAGTCTATTGTTGAGCATGTGCAGTTTGCTTTTGAAGCGTAGTTACTGCGCTGACACAAATCTGCATGTGCACAGGGGAACAGGTGCACTCTTGTATACTTGCGTACTCTTGCAGATGCTGAAAGTATAACACCTGCCAGAGCTGTTACCACTATGCGACTTTATCAGTGCGTGGAAGTCTGCGTGCATGTCTCCGTTGCATACATGCACAGTAGGTCATACTAAACCCTTGTAGTGTAGTCATGTGCATCCCAAAATCAGTGTCCAAACTTCACATGGACCCTAGCCAGAGAGTATACCACCAGTCTTACACTTACAGGTAGACATGTGCTACCAATGGCACCACCAGATGTCTGCAGAATGGCCATTTTGGCACCATTCACCATGAAGATGTCACACGTACTCTCTATAAAATGGTCACTGCAGTGGCAGATGTTGGGGTTGATCCTCAGGTCTCTGCCAATGCAACTCTTCACAAAATCAATCCACCTCTTCATCATCTCAGACTGGATTCTTCTGCAAATTCTGGTATCAAGGGAAGATACATTTGCTGGATGACGGCGTAGCTAGCTAGCAAACTGGAGGAGAACCACTGATCCAAATAGTTCTCATGATGTTGTAGTGTCAGGGGTCATGCATGGTGTTGTGCATCATCAAGCCATGATACACCCAAAAAACCCTGACTAACAAAAAAAGATTAAAAACAGTCCAACGCTACAGTTCACGGTCTTTTCACGTTTTCAGCAGTTATTCTCTGACATATAGAAAGTGTTTAGAAATAAGTTGAACAAAACAAATTCAGTGAACAAAAAGCTTCTTGCCTGGCAGGAAGCGATTCCACTCTTTGCTGTTTCATTTATTTTTCAAGCTTTTCTTCATAAGAATCAATTATTTTGGTGGCAAGTGAGGTGAGTCTTGTTGAAGAATTTCCAGCTACAGTTAATGATTTTTGAATCTGATTTGAATAAGAAATGAGTCCGTCCACAGCAGGGAGTGAATTCTGCTATTTACTGATTTATTTTACTGCTAGAACAACTTCAGTGACTGAAGCCTGATCGCTTCCAAAGACATTTAAAGGTCTAGGACGAACTAGACCACCAGAGGAATTTGTAAAATCCAGAGGAAAAAAAAAACCCCACAACATCCTATCGAGATCTGTGGCAATTTTTAGACGGCACACAAACATCCAGCGTCCAGCAGAGACCTCCTACATCCTCGTACACCCAACGAAGCTCACACGCCCACAGCGCTCACCGCTGCATGGCAGAAAACACCTCACATTCATTCTCCTCTCTGCGACCTCGCTCTGAACCCTGAGGGAACAGACGGACAGACGGGCAGAGGCTTTCTTATCCAGCGTTGGAGTGTGAAGGCCTGCTCGGATACATGTAAACGCCGCGTGGGAGACAAACAGTCCGAACCAGAGACACAGAAGAAGAAGGAAAAACAAAAGTAGACATTACAACAGACTGGATCCAGGCAGAGCGACATGATGATGGTGGTGACGCTGATACTGCTGATGGTGGTGAAGAACTCGTGCTACGATGTGCCGATCGGGGCCACGGCGATTCCATCCGACATCCCCAACAGCACCCAGAAACTGTGAGTAGCAGCACACGAGAGGATGCAAACAAACATCTGGAGCTCTGCTGTTTACGTTTCACTTCCACTTTTGCTTTCTCCAACAAATTCCAACAAAACAAACACAACATCAGGGTATTGATAATGCTTCCTGTCTCATAATTACATCCCTTCTGTTTGTTATCTGCACTGAAAACCACAAAACGAGCTTTTAGGAACCATTTTTCTTGACGGAACCAACAGGATCTGTGCAGCTTCTTTTATTTTCTCCCTCCATCAGTCCCTAACACTGAAGTGCAGCTTGGCCTACTGCCTGCTGCTGTAGCTGTAATAATTCTTGTACGATTGCTGCTTCAGTTTTGACCACTCTTTATGTCTTGTGACTCTCAAAATGGAAGTGAAATCGTAGAGTCCAAATATCCTTTTAGTGTCTCGCCTGAGCCGAGCTCCGTGAACACTTGATCCTACGTTTCCAATAGTGCTGCTCAACAGACCTCCATTCCTGCTAAATGCTCACATCTCTCAAACTCCACACCTCCGGTTTGTAACCGGCCTAATGGTGTCATTCGGGGTTATTTTTTCAGGCTTTATAAAGCTTGCTTTTGGAGCCACAGGATGTATAAAACCGCCCGAGTAGCGCTTTGTATGATGAGGAAAACTCTTTAAAAGGTGTGAAACTCGTCTCTCGACTCAACCCCAGCCGACCTGCAGTAGGTCAGTATTACAGCGAACACGCGTCCCGTCCAGCGTCTTATACGGATCCCGGCGCTGCGCGGTGTTTACAATTCACAGTCCCATCTCGTGAGCATGCATAATCATTTAGACTTTCCTTCTAATCCTCACTCATCTCTTCTTGGCTGAGTGTACGCGCTGAATTTGCCAGCGCTGGTTCCATTAAGGAGTCATTAACCGAAGGGAATGTATGCAAAGCTCGCCTGCTCGTCTCCAGCCACCGTCAGACACCCAGCAGCCAGGGGTTAAAGATGCCCCGCCCACGTTTCATGTAAACAAACAAACTTCAAGTCTGCATCCAATGTGTCTCAAGAAACGGGCGTGGGCTGTTTGCGTCTACGTTTACTTTTTTTCCCATTTGCGGGCACGTTGTCACTTTCATGTTTAGTAGCATGAAACTGGAGGGCAAATACAAGCAGCTAGCCTGGTTTACACTGATGAGATTCAACATGAGCTGGAAAGCTGCTGGTACAGCGTTTTCTTTGCTTACCTCCGGATGAACCAGGCTAGCTGCTTTAAGTGAAGAAAGGCCCCTTCAGAAAGGCTGCAGGCGCTGGCTTCATGTTTAGCATACAGACATGAGCGCTCAGCCAGAGCTATGCGTCGCTTCTTCTTCTTCTCCAAAGTTTCAAGGTGTCGCTGCACAACTTCCAAAAGTTCCCCGGCGTCCTTGACACGGTGGCACGGAGCTGAAGGTGATTGCCACTCGAAGTAAACACTCACCTGTTGTTTTGGTCGTCGAGGAATCTCAAGGCCTTCCAGAGGGAAAAATTAGGATCGCCTCAAGCATTTTTGCACAAACTCGCAGCCAGACGTACACAAGAACAGTTTAGTTATACAAAATCTCGCAGAAGCTCGCCAACAAACACAGCTGATGCACGCGCACACACGCGCACACACACACGTTAAGACAAGGACATGCTTTCGCAGTAGAAGTATTCCCAAGAGGCGCTCTGTGAACTCCCAGGCGGCGATGCGTGTGTTCTCATCTGCTCTGCCCGAAGGTCAAGGCTCAGGAACAGAGGGGGGAAATTTACAAGTATGCAGCAGTGGATGTCCAAAACGGATCTTAGGATCTCGTATAGACTTTCAAAAGAGTTTGTTTCACGCATGAAAAGAAAATCCCCCCCAACATGAGTGAGTAGCCGGTCACGGCCGCTTTCATTATTCATACAACAAAAAAAAAAAGTTGTAAAATCTGTATCTCATGCACGTCCCACCCCCACCTCCTCCCCCGAAGTACAGGGAAGAAGAAAAAAAAAATGTCCACTAATGATTTTCCATCCCTGTGATCAGTTGCGTTGCTGAGCGATGAGTGTCTGTTTCTGCATCAACAGGAGAGTGAATCAGACGAAGATCAGAGTGTTTCCCCAGAGTGCCCTCAGCAGCCTGCAGCGCCTCAGGAGACTGTGAGTGTGTGTCTGCAGCTCCTGTTGATTCTTTGATGTGCAGCAATAATGAAGCGAGAGGGTCAGAAACGCATCATCTGAACCGAGGGGAAGACATGTTTTTATGCTATTCCTGGTAATTCACTGTTAATGTTAGATGAGTAACAGCAGCACACGGGTTGTATTTAATATATTTGCATTCCCAACGTTTCTAATTTGCACTTGAGTCAAATATAGACAATTAACAGATGAAGGTTTTGTTTTATCACTTTGCACATTTCACTGTTTACATGACACATGATGTCATTTTGCACATCCTCAGGTGTTTCATTTGCACATTACTCCACACTGGAAGTATTTCTGTTTGTTTTATGACTTATTATCACCTGATTACACTCGCTGCTGATTTGACTTGTAACACTTTAAAA